CTTCTTACTGCTGCTTCCTCCTTCTTCTTCCAAGCCGGCGGCAAGACCAGGGGAGCACGGGTAGCGGGCGGCGCTGCAGGGGGGGACGGTTACACAAGGCCGGCCGTGGCAAAGACGCTGCTGAACGGCGGCGGGCGTCAGGTCTTGACAGCGACGGCGCTAAGCTTAGGGAGCCACATGCTGCCGGGAGGCGCGCGCCGGGCTAGGGGTGCTCGGGGTGGGCGGCGTAGGGCGGGGGCGCTGGTGGCGGGGCTCACCGGCGTGGTGCATGCGTGGCGGAGCGGGGTGGCGGCACTGGTGGGCTGTGGAAGCGCTTGCCGACCGAGCAGCCAGGCGGTGGGCGGCTGGCTGGGGGTGCTCGGGGTGGGCGTCGTAGGGGGGCGCCATGGTGGCGGGGCTCACTGGCGTGATGGGCTGGCGGCGTGAGCGGGTGGCGGCACCGTGGGCCAGTGGAAGCGCGCTGACCGACCAGCAGAGCGGGCGTGTGGCGCGGCTGGCTAAGGGGTGCTCGGGGCGGGCGATGGGCGGGGCGCGCTGATGGCGGGGCTCGCTGGCGTGGCGCTGCTGACGCTGGCGAAGCGGGGCATGCGGCGCTGGCTGCCGGGATGCGCCACGCCACCGGACCGAAAGCAGAGCGGGAGCGGTAGGGTTCTGGGTGGGGATTTTGGGCCGGCGGCCCATTTTCTATTTGGCCTTTGCCGAGTGCTCCAGAAAGGGGCATTCGGCAATTTTTTTTTAAAACATATTTTGCCGAGTGTAAACATACCCTAAATATCATGAGGAGATGTCTGGGTTTTTGGCATCCGACGTCACAACTTGCTTGAAACCTTCATAATTTTTTACCACAGCCTCCACATGCGATAACACGACGCCTCGACAAGTTTCGTGATTTTCGGACTTCGTTTGCATTTTATATAATTTAAAATCACATTTCCGGCAAGTACCTCGACATGTTACGTCAACGAGATGCTCGAGATTTCATGTGAGTTCCTGGATACGGCCTAAACATACCCTAAATATCATGAGTATCAATTTTTGGATGACCAAAGTCCATTATTCCATGTACCTGCAGTTCAAATTTAAAATATCCCAAAAATTTCGACGAAACGAAATAAACTAATGAAATATATCAAAAAAGTCAAAATTGTCCCAAATTTTAAAATAGAGTTTGAAATACTGTAACAAGGCCAAAAAAAATTTGGACCCAAAATTAAAAAAAAATTGCCGAGTGCCATGGGGGCACTCGGCAAAGTTGATTTTCAAAAATAAAAAAAAATTGCCGAGTGCCTGGCGCTGGTACTCGGCAAAATAAGTTTTAAAAAAATAAAAAAAATTTGCCGAGTGCCTGGGGCTGACACTCGGCAAAATAAGTTTTTAAAAATAAAAAAAAATTGCCGAGTGTCATCCGTTAGGCACTCGGCAAAATCTGACGGCAGATGGCCGCCGTCACGGGCCGGCCAGCTTTTGCCGAGTGGGACTTTTGCCGAGTGCCGCGGCACTTGGCAAAGCCCAGATTTGCCGAGAGCCCTTGCCGAGTGCTTTATTTTGCCAAGTGCGGCACTCGGTAAAATATTTCTTTGCCGAGTGCTCCGATAAAAAGCACTCGGCAAAGTCTCAGGCATTCGGCAAAGTACAGTTTTCCAGTAGTGAGCATTTTCATTCACTTACCAAATAAGATACTGTAATTCTCTTGCGCCGGGGTACGTAGCTATAGTCCTAAGCGGCATCTCGTTCACATACCTAACTAATATGGTACCGCAATCTATCAGTCTTGAAAATCCGAGGAGAAGACGTCGATCCCTAAATGGAAGTAATCATTTTTTGGGAAAAATTTACTGAATCAATAAGACTTAAGAAATAAGTTAAAAATATCGTCCCACGTTATTAGCTGATTGCTCAATGCATACTTTCCGGACGACAAAAAAGGAAGCAGCCTATTTTTTTTTCCTAAAAGAAAGCAGTTATTTGTAATCAATTTCTCTGGGACCATTTGGATCAACTGTATTATAGATTATTAAAAGGTAGCTTGAAGGTTATGAAAACTACATTGTGGCAAGTGAATAGAAATGGTGGCTAATTTTTAGTGAACTCCAATATATAGTCAATCTGGTCCTTTTTAATGAATAAAATACTACAAATTCAACAAAAGATGGCCAGGAATTGTGACAAACTCTAATAGAAACTGTTAAAAGTAGGGTAACACCAGTGCTATGATTGAAGGAACCAAAACCTCACAATTGGGGGAAAATGGAAAAAAATCAGAGTGCGCCATCGATGCTAGGGGTTGTCGGTTTGCACCTGTGGACGATGATGTTCCACCATTTTTAGTTGCAAAAAATAGAGTAAGTTTATTATGGGGGCATCTATCCTTGTTGTTCCTTGTACCATTGCTCGTGTCCTAGTGTGTAGTGAGGGAAAAGTGATTTATATGGCCCTTATGCTATTTTAGAATCTATGTCTAATAGCACATCTTGTTAGACGAGGAAAAACAAAAACGGGCTTACAAACAAAACTCAAAGAGGGAAAAGAAGAAGAAAAATGGTGACCTCAGCCAGGGTCGTAGAATATACTGAACTGATATATCCTACGACCCCGGCTAAAGCGCCCACCACCAACTAATTAAAGGAATATAAAAAAAGCAACCACCAATCTTCCTAAGTGTCAAATTAAAAAAAAAAAGCAATCGTTTCCTTCCTAAGTCAATCTTCCCAAACTAAAGGAAAACCGGCTAAAGTGCCCACCACCAACTCCCTCAAGGGTCGACGAAACGACTGGACGTCGGCTAAACTGTAGTGTCTGCATTATGCATTACCAAGTTGTATAGGCTCGCGACTTTCATTGGGCGTCTTGTGTTCTATTGAAAAGTTTTTCTATTACGCTCCTAAATATGCCACCAGAAATAGATTATAATTATGTCAAGAAAACCTTTTTTCTTGGTTTGCCAAAGGTAGCTTTGTATCTCCTTTTGTAACTATAGATGGAGCCGCTTTGATTTATGTTCTGAATGTTGGGGATATGACACCAAGTCTATATTATTGCCCAAGTTTCCTTGTGTAAATACAGTCTTTAGAGAAGGGAATGTTGGGTGCTCACATTGGGGTTCATGGTGGCCAGGTTGAAGCCGACAGCAGCAGCAACAAGAGACATTGGTAATGCTGCTGCATACACGGAACAGCAGAGCTAGCAGTTACTATGGCATCAATATCTCAGCCACTATGGAACCTATGGACAAACCAACTTATAGAGATACACGTGCAAAGATAAAAGAGGCATGTGATGGTTGAAGGGTATGAGCATTGGGCTAGCTGCTGGACTAACGGGGAACGTCATTACCAACCTGAGCAGCACAACTGCCGCTAGGACAGCAGGGATAGCTTTCACGAAGGGTTTTGTGAATTTTGATGCATTTTTCGAGAAGCAAAACAATGCCAAGTTTGATTTGAAGTAAATAAGAAATATGGTAGCACTAGCACCCGGACGGACCCACGCCGGCGCCTCCTACACGCACAAGCGGCGCCCACCCTGCCACTCTCGCACGCTTCCTGCTTCCCGCACCCCTCCATGCCTGCTGTGCCACTCCCCTCCATGCACAGTACCCCCAGCAACTGCTGCAGCCAGCTACGGCAAGTGGCTCACATTGTAACATGCACAACACCCCGATCTATTTTTGAAATATTCAAATAAAACAATTGCAACATACGTACGAAACAGCTGAAACCCCAGCAGTTGCTGCAGCCAGCTACGGCAAGTGGCTCACATTGCAACATGCACAACACCTCGATCTATTTTTGAAACATTCAAATAAAACAATTGCAACATACGTACGAAACAGCTGAAACATTCGCGTCTGAAACACATACAAAAACATATGAAAACACTTGAAAAACAATTGCAAACATATGTAACATCCAAATAAAACACCTGCAACACGTGTGAAACATATGCAACATGGAGATAAACACACTTGCAACATACATCTGAAAAAAAAACCGATGAAACATTGAGAATAGACACTTGCAACATACGTGTACAATCATTACAACATATGCAACATCCCGATCTATATTTGCAATATCCGCATGAAAACACTTGAAGAAACATAGATATCTGAAACACTTGAAACATGGGTTGCAACATGGGGGAGCCCAGGGCAGGCGATTTCAGCTGTCGGGGTTGGAGCCGGCGCCGCATGAGCACCACCACCACCATCGCTAGCAGCACCGGGCTTGGCTTAGCCGGGCGGGCGGCGCGCATGATGGCGCGGAGCGAGCGGCAGTAGCGAGGCGGAGTGGGCGCGTGGCGTCCGGATGGGGAGGCTGTGGCTGGAGAAGGTCACGGCGTTGGAGAAGGCCAGCGGCGGGTGGGCGGCGCGGTGGATGCACCCACGACAGTCGCATGAGTGCGGCAGTGGGGGAAGGAAATGTTGCTATGTTTTTTTATTTTTTGAAGAAACTTTGTCGTACTGAAGGTGAAGTGGAGGAGGACTGTTGGGCTTGATCGTTGGGTAGGCTCGGGAACGACTCGTCCGGACTGAACACACCTAGACGGACGCTCGTGTGCCAGCATTATCGTAAGAAATACTGATCTTTATGATATGGAATAAGTACTGTTAGATTAATAATATAATATATTTTTTATAGTGAATCTATTGGAAGAATACACAAATATTGATACTATTTTTTTTATAAATCTAGAAAAATTAGATGTGCATTTTTTTATGCGGAGTAATAAAATTATGGGAAGCTGAGGGTGTTATAACAGCCGAACCAAATTCTTCTGTGAACTCAAAGGCCATGACCCAACCAAACCTCACCTGCACACCACTTGTCTTGACACCACACAAGAATTGCATCACAGGATGCCTTCACCTTCTTCCTCCCGTCATCACTCCCCGCCAAGACCTCCGCTCGTCGTCTCTTACAAATGCCAAGCCCATGCCCTTCCTCCTACTCACGACCAACGCCGGCCAAGAAGCCACCAACAACCAGTAGCAGCTCAGGATGGGCGACGCGCCCATCGCCGTCGTGAATGAGGCTGAGGAGGAGCACATCTTCCGGAGCCGGTTCCCACCCGTGGACCTGCCGGACGACGTCACCTTGCCGGAGTTCGTGCTGGCGGGCGCCGAGGCCTACGCGGACAATGTGGCGCTCGTGGAGGCCGCGCCGGGGGGCCGGTCCTACACCTACGGCGAGGTGGTCCGGGACGTGGCGCGGTTCGCCCGGGCGCTACGGTCCGTGGGCGTCCGCAAGGGCCACGTAGTGGTGGTCGCGCTGCCGAACCTCGCGGTGTACCCCGTGGTGAGCCTCGGGATCATGTCGGCGGGCGCGGTCTTCTCCGGCGTGAACCCGCGCGCCATCGCCGCCGAGATCAAGAAGCAGGTGGAGGACTCGGAGGCCAAGCTCGTGGTCACCAACGAGGTGGCCTACAACAAGGTGAAGGACGCGGGCGTGCCGGTGATCAGCATCGGGGACGACATGGAGCGCCTCCCCGGTGCGATCATCTGGGACGAGCTCCTCGCCGCCGCGGACCGCGCGGGCGCGCCGGTGGTGGCGCTAGACCCGGTGCAGCAGTCCGACCTGTGCGCGCTCCCCTACTCGTCCGGCACGACGGGGGTGTCCAAGGGCGTGATGCTGAGCCACCGGAACCTGGTCTCCAACCTCTGCTCCTCCATGTTCGCCGTCGGGGAGGAGCTGGTCGGGCAGGTGGTCACCCTGGGGCTCATGCCCTTCTTCCACATCTACGGCATCACCGGCATCTGCTGCTCCACGCTCCGGCACAAGGGCACGGTGGTGGTGATGGACCGCTTCGACCTGCGCACGTTCCTGGGCGCGCTGGTGACGCACCGAGTGATGTTCGCGCCCATCGTGCCGCCCGTGATGCTGGCCATGGTGAAGAGCCCCGTGGCCGACGAGTTCGACCTCTCCGACCTCGCCCTCAAGTCCGTCATGACCGCCGCCGCGCCGCTCGCGCCGGACCTGCTCGCGGCGTTCGAGAAGAAGTTCCCGGGCGTGCAGGTGGAGGAGGCGTACGGGCTCACGGAGCACAGCTGCATCACGCTGACGCACGCCGCCGGCGACGACCCGTGGCAGCAGGGGCCCGTCCAGATCGCCAAGAAGAACTCGGTGGGGTTCATCCTGCCCAACCTGGAGGTGAAGTTCGTGGACCCCGACACGGGTCGGTCGCTGCCCAAGAACACGCCCGGGGAGATCTGCGTCCGAAGCCAGGCCGTGATGCAGGGTTACTACAGGAAGAAGGAGGAGACGGAGCGCACCATCGACGCCAAGGGCTGGCTCCACACCGGCGACGTCGGCTACATCGACGACGACGGCGACGTGTTCATCGTCGACCGGATCAAGGAGCTGATCAAGTACAAGGGCTTCCAGGTTGCTCCTGCCGAGCTGGAGGCCATTCTCCTGTCCCACCCGTCAGTGGAAGACGCGGCCGTCTTCGGGTAAGTTATCGACCATGACCGACTGCAGTTCACAACGCACTAGACAGAGACTTGACCGCCGTGCTTGTGCTGCGTCATGCCATGCAGCCTGCCGGACGAGGAGGCCGGCGAGGTCCCGGTGTCGTGCGTGGTGCGGCGGCGCGGCTCGTCGGAGAGCGAGGCGGACATCATGGCGTACGTGGCGGACCGCGTGGCGTCGTACAAGAAGCTCCGGCAGCTGCAGTTCGTGGACGTCATCCCCAAGTCGGTTTCCGGCAAGATCCTGCGGCGGCAGCTTAGGGACGAGTTCGTCAACAGGACCAAAACGGCAGCAGCCTAGGCAGGCTAGACAGTCCAATATGCCAGTAACTTGCATACGTCATTCAAACGAGTACATGCCTCAATATGCTTGTTTATACTGTTTGCCGAAACCGCGTGATGCAACGACAATAGATGGGTTGTTTTGGGCTTTTGGCCACATTGGTAGTGCTCCTAGAAAAAATGAGTCATGTTTCTCAAAAAAGTAAAAGAAAAAAAATGAGTCCTTTTCCGCCGTTATAAAAGTTCAAAATTCCTTATGAGCCATCAAAAAAGTTTTTCAGTCTTCAATGGCATTACTCGAAACTTTTTTGCCATGCATGCCACTCGAATCCGCGTCCAAGCTAGTGTTCTCTGGTGTAAGGTGTGGGGACGATGAGGAGATGGCCAAGAGCTGTGCGGGCAAGTTCCACCCCACGCGCGGGTGAGCGCCAACCCGCAAGCCCAGCATTGTAGGAGAGCTCCTCCCCTGAGTAGTGTGCGCCGCGCCATGCGAGAGAGATAAGAGAGAGAGGTGAAAAGGAGAAGTGCATAGTAAGTAAGGGCACTATGGAATTTTTTCATGGCTGGCCCCACATGACTGATCCGTGAGGCCGTTAAAATGTAACGGAAGTGACTGTAGTGACATGCCGAGGAAGAAAGTTTCTATCAACGTCACCGGAATCTGGAAAAAAAATAGCAACTCATATGAAATTTCAAACTTTTACAATGGCACAAAGGGAAAATACTAAAAAAAATCATTCAGCCTGTATATTTTTTCTCTGCGAATTGGAAAATGCATTAAGAATCGAGTAGCGTCATTATAAGAGACTGAGCAAACTCTTGAAAAGAAGAAAAGAAGACTTGAGTACGACTTGAGTGCCGCTTTATTCTTGTTAAGGTTGCAGTATCCTTAGTACATAATTCTTTTTAGGATCAAATGAGTCTGATATGTATGTAATTTTCATTCAGTATTTTAACCCAATTTGCGTTGTTAGAAACATTAATTAATTAACATGGCAAATGAGATACTTTTATACTCCAATTTGCATTTTTTTTAATATCCAATTTGCATTCTTAGAAACATTAATTAACATGTAGGAGTAATTTATACCTTACTCGTTCACAGGATATATAGCCTGACGAAATTTCTGCATGCCTACGAATATCTTAAACGCATAAGAAACAGACATATCTTAGACCCTATCATGGTCAAAGACAAACTTGAATCTCAACTAAATTATTTATTCTTTTCTTATATGGCTTTTCACAGATCTGAACTTTTACAATATAGATCTATAAGTGGTAGCTTTTAACACTTGAGAGTTTAATTAAGAGATGACTTTAACTTTAATTATAGAAATACACTGACTTTTTATCTAATTGTTTTCCCACCATATATGGAAATCATCAAACAACTACTTTTTTAGTTTTCAATGTTAAAATTTAGCCATTTTATAATTATAATTTATATGAAGTATTTATTTAGTTATTTTTCATTGTAGTTCATTCAGAGAATAAAAAAAATATTTTTCATAATATTTTATATGAACTTATTTATTTGCCGAGTGCAAAAAAAAACACTCGGCAAAATTATTTCTTTGTCGAGTGCTAAAGGAAAACACTCGGCAAACTTACTTCTTTGCCGAGTGCCACTAACGAACACTCGGCAAACTCCTAACGGCAGGCACACTAACTGACGGATGTCCACGTGGCGCTTTTCTACCGTGTGTCTCTGTTTTGCCGAGTGTTTTTTCCTTGTTTGCCGAGTGGTCTTTTTTCAGCACTCGGCAAAGAGTTTGGTATGCCGAGTGCAATTATTTTGCCAAGTGTGGTTTCTGCAGCACTCGGCAAACAACTTTTTTGCCGAGTGCCCGATAGAATGCACTCGGCAAATGTTTTGGCACTCGGCAAATCACCTGTTTCCAGTAGTGGATCCTTCTTTTCGGTATTTTATTTCCAAACTCGTACGGACATCAAGTTGTTATTTTTCTTAATTTGTTCTTCTGAATTTAGTATTTGCGAAATGTATTAGGTATGAACTTTGTGATTTAATGTAATCCGTTGCATCATTATGAAATCATACAGTATAGGATATTTTATGTTTAATGTGGGACTTTCTAGACTTTTTTTGGCGAACATGGCTTCTTTTAACACTGTTTTTTTACTATAATAGATTAAATTGCACTTTTTTTAATAGACATGCACCAGTAGTGTACTAGAGGAGGAAGCAGAGTTGATTTCTTTGCCCTAGTCTGAAGTCTGAACGGATAATGCTCCCTTTCATATAATAACTATACCTGCCATTGCACTGTACATATGGATGTACACATAGGCCTTGTTTAGATTGGGGTTAGAAATCAATATTTGGCACTGTAGCACTTTCGTTTGTATTTGATAATTATTGTCCAATCATGGCCTAACTAGGCTCAAAAGATTCATCTCGTAATTTACAATCAAACTGTGTAATTAGTTATTTTTTTATCTACATTTAATACTTCATGCATGTGTCCAAAGATTTAATGTGATGGAGAGAGAGTGAAAAAACTTGCAATCTAATCGAGGCCATAGTCCAGAGAGTGCAATTACATAATAAATTAGTGAGGTAGCAGCTAGATGCATGGCAGGAAATACGTGCTGTCATATATGCTCTCGAGTTGTATTATATATGGCCATGTGTTTATACTCTGTGCATAGCCTAGTAATCGTGCCGCCTTCAAAGGCAGCATATGCATAGTTCAAGAGGGGCCAGGTTCTTGAGCCAAGCAGGAGGAGGGGTGTGGCAGCGAGCTAATAGAAGTGTCTCCAGTCTTCATTCAGAGGAAATTCCAATCGAATGGGTGCAGTGCAGTGTAGTCTAGAAATTGGAGGCATTGGGATTTTAAGCTATGCCCTGAGTTGGAAGATGATACATATGAGTAGTCATCATCAACCGTCCTTCATCGATGATTGCAGTACGAGAGAAGTGCCAAGCGCTTAGATTATTATTAGCCCGCTGCTTTAAGAAACATGCAGCCGAAGGTTAAAATCTTCCAGTATGGCAAAAGGATGGTAAGGCTGGGAAAGTATGGCTGCCCAGTCAAGTACTTGCTTATAGACTATGGCTAAGGAGAAAGTGTTGGAGCCCCAAATGTAGGTCCTGTGGTCCAATTCAAAAGAAAGTTGCCCAATGGCAAATGGCATTAAGTCATTAACTAATAAATCCCCCATCGGAGTTTTTACAGTTACAGTAAGATCGGTCACCTGCTCCTACATGACCTAAACAAAGTTAATATATTGAAACAGCAAAAGTGAGAAGTGCATGCGGTGGTAAGCATCGTGCGTGATAACTTGCGCGAAACCTTCTCAAATTTTTATCACAGCCTCCACATATGATATCATGACATCTTGACAAGTTTCATAATTTTTGGACTTCGTTTGCTTTTTATAGAATTTAAAAACAACTCGACCGTAAGTTTGTGGTCATGTTTCGCAAACAAGATGTTCGAAATTGATGGTTTGTTCATGGATACGGCCTCACATTATACTAAATAACATGAATATCATTTTTCCATTCATTTTTTTCATTATTCAAATAACTAGCAGTTATAATTTGAATTATCCAAGAAAATTCAATTAACTAAAATAAATTAAAGAAATATAGAAAAAGTTCAAGAAATGTGTCACATTGGAACATGGAGTACCAGGTATTGTATGAGGACTGCAGAAAAAGTTTAGAGGTCAAAAGTGGGAAAAAAATATAGTTTGCCGAGTGTCAAAAAATGACACTCGGCAAAGGAGCCTCTTTGCCGAGTGCCAGAACGTATGACACTCGGCAAAGAATTTTTAAAAAAATTAAAAAACCCCTCTTTTCCGAGTGCCAGTCCGGGTGGCACTTGGCAAAGAATTTAAAAATTTTAAAAAATACTTTGCCGAGTGCCAGATCGGGGGCACTCGGCAATTTTTTTAAAAAAAAACCCTCTTTGCCAAGTGCCAGGCCAGGTGGCACTCGGCAAATAATTAAAAAAAATTAAAGAAAACTTTGTCGAGTGCCAGATCCGGGGCACTCGACAAAGGGGGGATTTAACAAGGCGGCCCACACACACCGCACGCCCGCGCCCGCGTCGCGTCGCCGGAGGAGGAGGAGAAAGAGAGGAGGAGGAGGAGAGGAGGAAGGAGGAAGAGGAGGAGGAGGAAGAAGGAGGAAGGAGGAAGGAGGAAGGAGGAGGAGGTGGCGCCCCGGCCACCGTTGCACGTCCCCGGCACTTCCCCAGCCGTCTCTTTGTCCACCGACGCCCTGGCCCCTTCACCACCGCCGCCCTACGACGCCCACTAGGTATGCCGTACCGTCGTCGTCGTCGTCGTAGTATTACTAGTAGTTACGATAGTAGTAGTGGTAGAGTAGCAGTGGTGGTAGTCGTAGGAGTTGTAGGAGTGGTTGTGACATTGTTATATATATATGGTTGGATATAATCTTGTGCATGTCGGCCATCGTGCCGTTCATATATATGTGCATGTCGGTCATCATGCCGTTGGTTTTCTTGCAGGTTTTGGAAACCTCACCGTGCAGGGGAGGTGCTGTCGAAATTTTGTATTGACAGTTTTATGTTTTTTTTGCAGAGAAGATCCCGTTGGAGCGGAGCCGGAGTACCTCGGCGACCCCGATCGCCTTCCTCGCTGCTGCAGGTCTGCCTGCACCACGCCGCCTCGCCACTGCACCGACCCGCCACGGCCCCGCTAGCCTGACTCCACCGCCACCCTAGGTATAACCCCTCTTTCCTTATCATGGTCGTAGATCACGTATCCCAGTTAGGCATCTCCTGTTCGAAAGAGATACGGTTGGAAATATGCAGATATTTCCATATCTAAAACCGTATCTGTTTCGAATTGTCCATGTTTTTTGGACAGCCCGCGGATGCGTAGGTGGGGTTAGTTTCCATGGTCTGCTCCGAACCGAGATAGAGTTTCGGTATCATCTCCCTGTTTTTCTCCGGATACACACTTTCCCTGGCAGGACGTGTATTTGGAGAACAGCTGGGAGGTGTTGCCGAAATTCTGTCTCGG